ATCAAACTTTAGAATGCAATTTCCTTTTCCTTTATGGGTGTTAAAACATTTTAACACTTCTTGAATAATGATAGCATTATCTGTGGCTCGTCTATTTTTGACAAAACTACTTTGCTGATCACTAATAAGATGCTTAAGGAACGGCTTGATGCGATTAGCAATCACTTTAGTGACCACTTTATACAAAGTGTTACAAAGGCTTATTGGCCTAAAGTTTCTTATTTGGTTTGCGTTATTGAATTTAGGAATCAAACATAAGTAGGTTTTATTAATATCATGAGGCATAACCTTTGTGTTAAAAATTTCCTGGCATAAGTTTATGACCTTACTTCCTAGTATTGGCCAGAATTTTTAGAAGAAGAAGGGATGTAGACCATCCGGTCCAGGAGCCTTGCATGGTTTGAAAGAAAAAATGGCTTTCCTAATTTCATGATTTTTTAGTTTACTATCAAGGCTGGATAGGTCAATTTTTTTGTAGGTAGTGTTATCCAATTGAATGGCTTTCCAATTAGTGTGTTCATGAGACGTAGTGAAAATGTTTTAGAAATGATTGGAGACATAATCAATTAGGGCAGTTTGATTTTCTATCCAATTCCCATAGTTATCTTTAAAAAAGATAATATTATTTCTCCGTCTCCGGTTAGTGGCTTTAATATGAAAGTACTTAGTATTTCCATCTCCTTCATTTATCCAATTGATCCTAGATCATAATTTCCAATAATCCTCCTCTAGTTTGAGTATTGAGTCATAATCTTCGACAAGTTTTACTTCTAGGTCTCTAAGGAATTGGCTATTTTGGTAGCTAGGAGAGTTTTGAATACCATTGATACGTTTTAATAATTTCCTTTTCCTAGCAAAGATATTCCCAAAGGTAACTTGTTTCCATTCTAATACACTTTTGTGAAAATACTCGGTCCCACTGATTATATCCTTATTTTTCCAACTTTCTTTCACAACTCTTGGGAAGTCTGGGTGGGAGCACCAGAAGGTCTCTAGTCTAAAGGGTCTTGCATGATTATTATTAACAATGTTGTTAAGGTTAACCAAGATGGGATTATGGTCAGAGTGTAGTTTGGGAGGATGAGTTACCGTAACATTATTGAATTCTTGCAACCATTCAGAATTAGAGTATACCCTATCTAACCTTTCCATAATTAGACCCCCTTCCTCCTACGATGGTTAGACCATGTATATTTACACCCTTTAAACCCCAGATCTACTAGGTTACAATAGTTTAGGCAGTTTATTAGGCTTTTGGCCCTTTTTGGTTAATAGGCCTGCCCCCAAAACTTATCCTCTGAATCTAATATTTCATTAAAATCCCCTGCAATTAGCCATGGTCCCTTTTACCTATCAAATACTGATTTAAGGTTATCCCATAACAAATGTCTATAGGCTAAGTCATTGCTAGCATAAACAATAGAAAATAACCAAATAAGGTTTTTAGGTTTTACCTCTATCATTGCATGTATTGATTGACCATTCCTAGTGAAGTTGTTGACGGTCACCACCTCATTATTCCAAAGAATAACCATACCTCCAGAATTACCAATGGTAGGCACTTCAACCATCTCTGTGAAATGATACTCCTCTAGGATGGATATGTGAGTTTCCATTTTTGTTTCCAACAAAGCAACTAAACAAGGCCTATGTGTGTCCATAAGCTCACGAAAGTGTCTCTTAAAGTTTTCATTGTTTGCTCCTCTAACGTTCCAAATAATAATATTATTGGGCTGATGCATGGGATTCATGTTTGGTGGGATGTTGTTGGGGTTCCTCCTTAGAGAGGGAACCAGTATCACCATATTTTTGCCCACTATGGGATCGTGAGGAGGGCGGATGTCCAAGGAGCACTTGTAGAGTGTCGTTGGGCAACTGAAGATAGACTTCATGTCTAGCATTTCCTTGAAGATGAGTATTTTTACCTAGCTTAGGTTTGAAAAAGCTACTGCCGGCTCCCCCAAGTGTGCTAAGTCTTCCTCTTCCTCCTCTTCTTCCTCCTGAATCCCTTCCTGATTTTGCATGTTTTGTGCTGGTGGTTGATCTTCCATTGGCTCTGGTTATAGACCTAGTGGTTGGTCTTGCATGTGTTGTGTAGTCCACTGTGTGAAGATAGGGTTCAGGAGCATTAGGTCCTCTGGTGCAAAGAAGGGAAGGTCGATAGGTGGGTTCTGTGGAAGCTGTTGGTTGGAGTTGTGGGGTATATTCCACATTTGCTGCATATTGTGAACTAGATTTTGATTTAGTGAGGGTGCTAGGGGTTGTAGTATGTTGCTCATCCACGTTTGATTTATGTAGTTGTTCATAGCTAGGCTCATCCCTTCCGAGATTAGTTGTGCAAGGAAGTGTGTGTTCTGAATGATTAGGATGGACCCCTGGCCATTGATCTCCATGTTGAAGGAGATGGCATGCCCTTGAAGGCCCAGTTCCACCCATGATTGGGGTACATGGTTGGGTGGGCTTGGAGGTTGGGCATAGATGACTGGATTTGGCTGGAGTTGAGGAGGGAGTGGTGGTAAGTTGTTCATTCTGTGATTCCTTGAGAGGTGAATTAATTGGATCAAACGATATCTCCTTCTCAAGGTTAATGGTGGTCTTGACATTATTGGTGGCTTGGGGTAATATAGGAGGGATACAATCTACTTGTGTAGGTTTAGTAATGATTTGCTCTACTTTTATAGTATTGGAGAGGGGTTGCATGTGATTTATAATCAAATCTTGCATGGATTTTCCCTCTTCCACTTGGCCGTCCTCTATATTCATGTGTTGCATGGTTAAGATAGAATCAGGGGCGGAGTTTTGCATGGTAGTTTCTAGTAATATTTTTTCAACTTCATTTGATTGGTTGTTAATGTTAAGGGGATGGCTATTAGTAGAGGAAATAATGATGTTCTGTTCGCCTTTGTTGGCTATTGTGGAATTTACTACCAAATCCATTTTGTTAGATAAAAGGTTTGGAGAATTATTAGGGTTAGTAGGATGTGACACGTTTTTGCTACTTGTAGAGAAGGTGTCTAATGTGCCATGCAAAGTAGAGTTTTTTTTTTTTATTATCTTTAATAGAATTTTCCAAAACTATGTGCACTTGTGGCTTATTGAAAAAATCACCCTTATTTCCAATGTATGATTTTCCAGTGAGCTCATTTGCTTCTAAGGTTACCCCTTCACCTTTGTCTGATTGTAATGTATTGTAGTTAGGGTTAGTAAGCAGATGAGCATTGACATAGTTCATACGCTGAGTATTTAAAACTTACCTGACATTGCATCAAATATGCGTACACTAATACCTGGGCCAACAGAGGAATTTGCCTTATTCATAGACTGATTGGCTGCCTTTGCTTTACTTTTTCTGGGAAAAGAAACTGTCATCCACTCCTGTGTAGTGTCTTCCTTAGGTTGTGGTGCCTCGTTTGTGACTGGTCCATTATTATGGCCACTTGGTAGAGTCCTATGGGGGCAGGTTCTGTTTGAGTGCCCCAACCTTCCACAAACTTTGCACATAAAGCCTTCTCCTTCATAGTGTATGTGTTGTTTGTGATGGCCAATCATGATGAAAGTTTGAACTGGCTGGTCCAATGGCATTTCAACACAAAGTCTCGCATACCTTCCTCTCAATGTGGCCGATGTGCATGCATCCACTTTCAGTAATTTACCAATGCAGTTCCCAATTTTTGTTAGAATAATCCCATCATAAAATTTTGTGGGGAGTTGTGGTAATCTAACCCAAACGGCAGTGCAATTTTGAGATGCCTTTGTTGCTACAAAATTAGGGACCCATTTTTACACTGATAGAAAGTAACCATTGATGAACCATGGACCATCATGTAAAATCCTAGTCATGCTTTCCTCTTTCGTCAGTTTAATTGTATAGTAATCTTCCCCTAGGTCTATTAGAGGATAATTTTTATCTACCTTCCATATCTCTTGAGTTTTCCTCTTTAGGTAGTGATGAACTAACTGTTTGCCCATGGGTTTGATGATGAGTGAGTACTTCCAAGGATTGTACATTCTTTGTTTATCATCCTCACTTAGTATGATTTGCCTCATGTTTTGGCACACATCATCCATTGAAGTAGTTTCCAAGTCATAAGATTGAATGTCCATGGTAGTAGACGAGGGTCCTGGATTCGATTGGGAATTAATGGAGAATATTTCCCCTTGAATTAATTTATCTTTATAAAAAGAAGTAGGATTGATTGTTGATGAATTTTTGTAAGGGGGTTTGGGTGGAATTTGATGGATTCCCTGTTGGTTGGGTTAGTGAGAAGTTGATCATTCTCTCTGTACCAATTGGTTAGGACTATATCCCCTTTTTATTAGTCAAACCTTACTTCGAACAACATACATAATCTTATATTTTAAAGTATTCTCGCTTGATTATTTTTTAACTTACTGTTAATATAATATAGATAAATAACTTTATGAAAATTTAATAGATAATTCTAAAATCCAGAAAGTTGCTAAAAATTAGTTGGTTAATATGAGTTTTAGATATAGGTATTCATGTCCTAAAAATGTAAAAAAAAAAGAAAAATTAAAAAAAAATTATTATTATTATTTTGGAGAAACAACCTTTTTCAGTTTTTGCTTAAAAGCTGAAAAATAGTTTATGCTACCACTTAAAAGTACTAAATAATTAGTTTAATTTTCCTATTAATTTCTATTATACTTTTAGAGTAATAAATTCTTCATTGTAGCTTTTGTAGTAAATATAAAATTCCTATTTAATTAGACGTAACTAATATTAGATTTTAAAATATACACTCCTATCAAAGTGTTAGTCTTTTCCTCTTAAATTATATTTCTTAGTTTTGATTTAATATGTAAGTAAGAAAATAATTGAAAATGCAAATTACAGTATATACACCTTCCAACAGTGATAATAACTTTGTATAACATTAAGAAATTACAAGAAGGGTGAATTTCCATTTAGATATCTTGGTGTTCCTCTAAGCACCAAGAGATTGTCTATCATGCAGTGTGAACCTCTAATAGACAAAATGCTACACAGAATCCAAAGTTGGACAACAAAATATTTGTCCTATGCTGGGAGAGCAGTCTTGGTGAAGAGTGTCCTATTTGCCATTCAAACTTTTTGGGCACAAGTGTTTATACTGCCAAAGAAAGTCCAATTCATAGAGACCATATGTAGAAGATTCCTGTGGACCGGGAGTGCTGAACCTACCAGGAAAGCCCTGATAGCTTGGAACGGATTGTGCTTGCCAAAAACAGCAGGGGGTTTGAACTTCATGGACATAGGACTATGGAATGAAGCAGCGATATGTAAATTGCTATGGAACATCTGCACAAGGAAAGAGAAGTTATGGGTGCACTGGGTTCATACATATTATATAAAAGGGCAAGCTGTGTGGGAGGTAAATGCAAAAAATGCTTCATGGGCCATGCAGCAAGTCTTCCAAGCAAAGAAATACTTTGATAGTGCTGGTTTAGAAGAAGAAGAGGTCAGGAAAATGTAGAACTTTTCAATTAAGAGGATGTACACGAACTTTTCAATTAAGAGGATGTACACAAAAATGCAGGGAGAATATCCAAAGGTGATGTGGAGAAGATTGGTATGCAACAATCAAGGGCAACCAAAGTGGACGTTTATATTGAGGCTAGTCATCCACAAGGACTAGCGACCAATGATAGATTGGTGAAATGGGGCATTAATATTGATCCTAGCTGCCCCTTGTGTAACAAGCAGAATGAAATAGTGAACCACTTGTTCTTTGAATGCGAGGAAACATGCAAAATATGGTGTGGATTACTGCAATGGCAAGGCATTCAGATAATGTCGCAAAACTGGCAGACTGTGATCGCGTGGATGGTGCAGAAGGCTAAGGGAAGAAGTGCAAGGGCTGAGATATGTCGAATGGTGCTGGCAGCAGCAGTCTACTATTGCTGGCAAGAGAGGAAATGGGCAGTGTTTCAGGAGAAATGAAGAACTCCTAAAGCAATACTGAGGCTGATTATCCAGGAAATACATGTAAGAGCAACAAGGTTTCCAAAGTTGGCTAGAGTGATCAGCACATTAGATTGGTATCCAGAAATTTAGTATATTCAAACTGTTAGTAGAGTTAGATGAAATGTAGAATGAAAGTGCTAGGTACTCATATTCTGGGGCATAATGTCCAGAAATGGTGTACGCTAGAATGAAATTAGTCCAAGTATAATTATGAGTTGTAAATATTGAGGCTTACATGAAATAAATTGATAATCTCCAAAAAAAAAAAAAAAAATACTATATCAACTGTTAGTATTTAATAAACGAGATAGCAAGTTACTTAGTTTAATAAAAATATAATAGAGAAAATATTATATTAAAAAATAAACGTGAATGTTCACACTCTTATAGAGAAAAATGTGTTCCTTTCCATTGTAAAACAATGTCCATCTTTTTTACTGTGTGTTATTAAATAAATTCTTTAGTTTAAATTTGTTTTTAAAATATTTTAGTCCTTACACCTCAAATTGAAACAACATTTAAGAAGAATGGTAAGAGAGTGTTTAAGTCAAAGCATATTTTAATATTTAGTTTAGAATTATTGTTTAACTTATTTTGTGTTCAAGTAATAAAATCTAAAAGGAAAGAATTATATAACAAAAAAATATTAATTAGCTTTAAAGTTCTAAATATTAGGACTTCCTACATAATTTAAATAAGGAAAGACTTAATGAGTAAAATTTTAATTAATTTTAAATTATTAAATATTACAAAAATAAAATGACTATTTTGTCTAGTGTGAAATCTATATTTAAAAGGTAAAAGAGGTGAACGACATTTCGTTAAGGGGCTTCATGCTTTTAATATAGTAAGTATATATATATATATATATATATATATATATATATATATATATATATATATATATATA